TTCAATTTATGCTCTCCCTAAAATAAAATCCTGCCGTTGAATTTGCTATGAATTTTTAGTTTTATCAGTTTACATTCAGTTATTTTCTTTTGAAAGGTATTGTCTTGGTTCTTAAAACCGTATGAAAGTATATTTTCTTTTTTTTTTTTAGAAAAATATATTAATTATGTATCAATCGTTTATTTTTATGGAGAATTGTAGTTACGTAATCAAACAATTTTTCATATAATTGGTGTTGAGGGATCTCGAATCAATCACTGTGCACTTTATTAAATAAGCTTGTACATAACTGATTATGAGGGCTTTATATATGAATCTAAAAACTACTTTAACTTGGCGCTTACTTCTCTCTCCATGTTACCAGCTCCTTCTACAAACTAAAGGATATTCAATACTTTATTATCAAGAAAAGAAGAAGGATATTCAATCCTTGCAACTCATTTGTTTTTACTAAAGTATACCTTGTATTATAATAAAATAAAATAAAATAAAAAAGAAAATATAAATTTAATAAAACTTGAAGAAAATTTGACAGTTCAAAATTATGTGGTACTGAGAACTTGGTCATAATTTTTATAATTCTCTAGTTTGAAGTTTATTTTTTAGCTGTAATGTTATGATGGATTCATAATGTTCTACTTCTGTTTATTATAGGATTTAATTGTGTTGTAAGTTTTTTCTCAACCTATTTTATTAGGTAAACTTTTGATTATGGTATGTTACAAAGTTGTTTGTTATATAACATATGATTTGTCAAGAGATCAAATTAAAAAAAAAAATCTCGTAATTAAGTTGGAGATATAATATTATGGATCGCTAGAAACATTATTTCACAAACATAGAATCCAAGGCTTCGTAAAGAAGAGTAATACTTGGACATGGGTAAAGAAGATATCAAACCTATTTTATATCGGATATCAAATAAACCCCCTTCTATTCATAATTAGAATCATGATTAAATTACCCATTATAGAATTAATGAAACTCATGGAAAAATGTATAATTACAGAGGTTAGATATAATTTATAATTATAGTAGAAGGTAAATTCAAATGGTTAATGGTTATAACTAATGGACAAACTTAAAATTATCGATTGAAACTCTCTTATAATTTACGTATGTAATTTAAGGGTGCAACTTTGATTTAATTGTGGGACGACTGCTAATTCAAACATGAGAATAGTTAAATTAATAATAACTTTTGGAGCTTGAATTACATATGTTCATAGATAGTCCGTTTGCTAACTTTGAATTAATTAAATTTTATTGGAGATCAATTATCGATTAGACTAAAATATAATGGAATATCAACTTTAGGGTTTTAACTTTTAAAATAGAAGGCCAAAAATTTGGGGTCCAACTTGCAAATGATGAAAAATTTGAGAATACATTAAATACGCTTGAAAAGTCTAATAGAAAGCAGATCAAATACGGTGTCAAAGACGTAATAAGTTAATGAGGCGTTATTAAGGCCTACCATATATTACATCTCTGTCAAACACATCATCTTATGCTATGTAGCAAATTAATTTTATCCACAAAAGATCAGCAAAAAGTCACCTACTCTGATCTTGTCTCAACTCTAATCTTGTCTCTTTAGCTCACACTGTGGCGTGAATCTTGGGGCCTTAGATGCATAGTTAAAGTTTGGTCAAGCTGGTATTTACGCATCGTTCACTTTGCGGATTCGAGTTTTCAATTCGAATTTAGATGTGACATTTTATGAGAGATTTTTACTGTAGCAGAAAAAGTTAGATGTGACATTTTCTGAGAATTTTTTACTGTAGAAACCTAAAACTGAAAACTCGAATCGGTAAAATGAACGAGGCCCTAGTTATTCAGCAAAAAGAAAAGCCGCCTTTTATTTTGTTTTTAAGTGGACGTTTGGTTCATGAATGCCCGTTTAGTTCGCTGATTCGAGTTTTTAATTCGAGTTGAGATGTGACTTTATGTGAGAGCTTTTTACTATAGCAAAAAAGTTAGATGTGATTGTTTGTGAGAGCTTTTTACTGTAGAAAAACTCGAATTCTAAACTTGAATCAGCGAAATGAATGATGCCATAATTGTTTTTAATTTACGTATATTTTTTATGAGAAAAAATATTGTAACGAATCGTGAATTATGATTCAAATCATAATATAAATACACTAACTAAACACACGATAAATGATTCTCATGATAGGCTATGAAAAAAAAAAATAAACTCACGATAAATATAATTTTTTTAGCCGTTAAATGTGTATAAAAAATAATGCATTCAATAAATTATTTATTTTAAATATAATTTTAATTATATTTAACGGATAAAAATGTACACTATCGATACGTGACCCTGTCTCTGTCGTAAAATGATCTTTAATATTTACTTCTGCGGTGCTATGTTCCTAAATGTTACTGTATAATAGGAGATGAATCATCATGTCTAGAAAGAAAACACGTTTACAAAAGAACAGGTTCATAGGAAAAGGTACGGCTGTCTAGAAGATCTCCATAATTATATATGAGACAAGTATTGATTTGCGTTGAATTAGTGTGACATGGCCCAGCAAGCATGTAAAAATATCTGACAAAACAACCGCATTCCAATACGAAGTTAAGATACATATCCAATAATTACTGTTATGTTTTTGTTTTAGAGGCCATGTTCCATGTGTTTTTGTCCTGTTGGATAAGCTTTCAATATTCCTGTTTTTGTTTTTCGAATGGTTAGTCTATTGATAGTCTTATAATACTTTTATTTTATTTCATGTCTATAATACGGGTCAATAATGGTGGCTGATCCTTTTTTCTTTTAACTTCTAAGATAATTTTTAAAAATATCTTAAAATACAACTTTTTTTATTTTTACCTCTTAATATTAAACTATATATTTTTATTTTTTAGATTATAATTAATTAAGAAATAAAATTTTTTACAATGGATATTTTAATAAGTTAAGTATTTAAAAATATAGAATATATAATTTTTTCTTTAAAATATAGTTAATTTTTTTTTGTCTCAATATGGCAACTTTTTTTAAGGAAAAGAAAAGACAACTTTTACGTAGACAAACAATTTGAAATCTCCATTATTGATCTTAGGAGTTGTTTAGTTAGGAAATTTGTATCCCGATTTGAATCATGGTTCGTGATTCGTTACAGTATTTTCTCTTACAAAAAATACACGTAAATAAAAAATAGTTATAATCTCATGATTCTAATCCATGAACCAAATGTCTCTTTAGATTCCAAATTTTATAGATGATTGTGAAGGTCCATAACCCATTATACACTCTTAGAGCTTGATATGCCAAGATATTAATTAAGAATAAATGATTAAAATCCGGACATATTCACACTAAGTATAAGTTCAATAATTTCCTCATATTGCATGTACAACTATAATGTTCCCAAAGAAGAAAAATGGTTAAATGAACTTCTCGTCAGTTGGTATGCTGGTATGAACAGATCAATTATATCACAGACAAAATGCCAGACAGCCGAAGAAAAAACAGATACAAACTGATGTTCTAAGGTTTCCGCTTCTTGTGAAGAGTACTACTGCTGAAAAAGAGAAATAAATACCTAATTATATATGTTGGAAATGTCTAAAGTGAGCACCCGGACCGGCCCGATAAATTTAATTTTTTAACGTATATCTATGTAACATCGTCCGCTCATATGTATAACACTTTGTTTTAATGTAACATTTAAAAATTATAGTCCAACACATACAATATTAGGTATTACGCTTAAATAAATTAAATGTTACACAAAGACAAACCATGTTATATGATAATACAAAAAAGTTACATTTGTCGTGCCGGACTTGAAACTTTGCCTATATAAGTATCCCAACAATTACTTAACTACTAGCATATATAGTTGATCTGTATCTTCCATTCAAAAATAAGCACATAGCTAAGACCGAGTAGGCTACAGTGATATTACACTGTAACAGCAGAATAACCCTCCAAGTTAAAATTGAATTGGTTTTGTTGCAATTTATATATATATATATATATATATATATATATATTAAACTGTAACTACAATATTGTAACACTCCATTACTATGATTTAGGAAACAATGTGGATTATGATGAAATGCATGTAGTTTTGAGGCTTCAAACTGAATTGGCTATGCTACAAGCCTGCAATTATTTTTTTTCTTTTGAAATTACTTTTGGAATTTGGCCCCACTAATAAAAGTTAAAAATGTATGCACTAGAATAAGCGAAAATCAAATGGTTTGTATCAAATTTGCAACTAAAATTACTGTTAAGTTTCTTTGATAAAGCATCAAGTAATTTTCTTTCCTATCTTTTTTTTTTTTTTTGAATGGATTTTCTTTCCTATCTTAAACACTTTTATTTTTCCCTCTTCTCTTCATGATCAAAGAAAATGTAGACTATAAGTTGGGATTTTTATTTTTCGGGGAAACTTCATTCAACAAGAAAAGCAACCAGAAGCACAAATCAAAAACCACCTGGGGGAGAATAGTAACCATCCGAGCCAAGACCAAACTTGGCAAGCTCATGAGCGAAACAATTGGCTGCTCTCGGAATTGCAGAAACAAAACAGAACTAAAGTTGGAACAAAGCCAACAAATATTCCCAGATACTAAGGCCTTCTAAAGCGTCGAAAAATCTATTCCTTGCAGCCAAACCATAATAATCCAGCATCTTTGAAACTCGGAAAGCAAGGAGGCCTCTGATTCAAGAATCTCCTTTGATTCGCTCAAGCCACACCCATAAACCAGCGAGTTTCAGTCCCTCCATAACAACCAAGTAACCATAAAGAACACTTCCAGGTCCTTTTTTTAAGAGCCTGCGAAAGGAAAAGGCAAACTCCATTGAAAGATCGAGCTTTACACTTAATGATCCATTGACTGAGGGAAGAGTTCAGCTAACAGTTTTTCACAAAAGCACAACTGCAAAGCACATGACCATTGCTCTCAATATCTATGCTGCAACGAGAGAACTACTCCCCACTCTTCTCGCCTCTTCTGTCAAGGTTTCTGGTAGTTGGAAGGGCCTCATTGAAAGCCCTCCAAATGAAAATTTTAACTTTGCCAGGGATGTTAGCCCTCCACCGACTGTCTTCAATGTTCCTCAAAGAAGTCCATCGCCACTTCATAATTCGAGCGCACTTTATATCTACCTTTTGACTCAAAATGCCACACCAACGGATCATTTTGCTCCCTTCTACTGAGTGGGATACTAACAATTAGATCACTTAATGGGAACATACTACAAACTTTATCAACATTCCATCCGTGTTTCACAATAAAAACAGATACAAGCATACCAACCGCCAACTTGGCAATTGGAGCATCTTCTGGGATAGAGAACTCATAGAGAAGGGAGCGAGATCGCAGATTATGTTTGAGGTACTGCTTGTCTAAGACGTTGTAAGAGCTAGAGAAAATGGTAAATGGAAACACGGGAAATGTCTGAAAATCCGTCATCACAATCATACTTTAAACTCTCTTCAGAATGCTTTCTCTATTTTTTACTTCTTATTGAACTGTACTAGGTATAAAAACCACATGCTAATCTAAACTTTTGGCTGACCGGGAAAAAGATGTACGTCCTAATTGCCCCGGGGAGGATTTAAGATATTTTTTGGTTGCAAAGAAGGTATCACCAAATAACTCTCAAAAATGCATCTCATAAAAACTTTCTCCGAACAGAGCAAAATACAGTTGAAAACATAATCCCTCATTTTGTCACAAGATATTAGACAAACCCCAAAACTCTTAAACTTGAGTTTATACCAAACTCCAACCAGCTTCCTTATCCACACCCCTTTCCTTCATCACTTTTCTGACATTTTCAGCTTGTTCCCATCTTCCACTAGAACTGTACATATTTGAAAGCATTACATAATAACCATCATTTCCTGGATCAGATTCAATAGCACGTCTGGCAACTCTTACTCCCATATCATTTTGATTGTGTTTAATGCAGGCACTTAACAAAGATCCCCATACTCCGCCATCGGGAGAGACGGGCATTGATAGAACCAAAGCTTCAGCTTCTTGCAGATTTCCTGACCTACCAAGAAGATCTACCATACAAGCATAGTGCTTCAAATTAGGTTTCATAGAGTAATCTTGCATTTTATGAAACAGATTCTGCCCTTCTTCAACAAGCCCTGAATGATTACAAGCCAAGAGAAGAGCAAGGAAAGTCAATTCATTTGGAATTACATCTGAATTTTCCATATCTTGGAAAATTTGTATTGCAGATTCTGCATCTCCATGCATTCCATAACCCGAGATCATAACATTCCAGGAAATAACATCCTTCTCCGTCATTGAGTTGAACAACCCCCGTGATTGCTCGAGTTGTCCACATTTCGCATACATATCAACCAATGCGGTCCCAAGCGATAAATTGATCTCAAGTCCTCTTTCTTTGATGTGATGGTGAACCTTCTCGCCCTTATCAAGAGAAGCAAGATGAGAACATGTAGAAAGCACCATTGCCAGCGTTGCTGAATTAGGGTACAAGTTTTCTGAAATCATTTTATCAAATAGAGCTATTGCTTCCTCAAATTGTCCACAGTGAATATAACATGAGATTATTGTGTTCCACGTGACAACATCTTTTTGTGCCCTGCAAAACATTCTCCACGCTAATGTCAGTTCACCCCTCTTTCCATACATGTCTATGAGTGAATTGGCAACCGAGACATTATTGTCTATAAAATTCTTAATTACATAGCAATGAAGTGACCTCCCAAGACGTGTTGCTCCCAATTGGCAACATGAAGAAATCACAGAGACCAAGCTGTCTGAATTAACTTCAACACCGAGGAGATGCATTTCCCGAAATAATTCTATGCACTTTGCAGAATGTCCTATCTTACTATAACCAGAAATCATAGTGCTACAGGACTCTTTTGTCCACTGCCGCATTTTACTAAAGAGTTTTTCTGCAATATTCAATAATCCAAATTTGGAATACATAAATAATAATGAGTTATGAACCATCTCCCCTAGTAAATAATCCCGCCTTATGATCAATGCATGAAAGGCCTTTCCTGGTTTTACGAACATAGAATTACCAAAACCCCAAAGCATGCAACTAATAACAATCTCATCAGGAAATAACCCACCAATCTGCATCTCCTGAAATAAATTTAAGCACTCATTCATTAGCCCAAATCTGGTGTAAACACCAATAACAGACATCCACGACAAGAGATCTTTATTCGTCACTTCACAAAAAGAAAAACGAGCTTCTACAGGAGTGCCACACTTCGAATACATTGACAAAATCGAAGACTTAACTGCTTCAGAAGACCCAAGTCCAGTTTTCACCACTAAACCGTGCAAGCATCTACCTTCAGCCAAAGCACCCATATTCCCACAAGCCTGAAAACCACCTTCCAACGTTCTAAAATTCGGCCTCTCACTTTCACCACCGCTCCTATGCATCTCACAAAGACACTCCAATCCCTTCTCACTCTCGCCATTCTGCACATACCCAATAACAAGCGCAGTCCACGAAACTACATCTCTTACAGTAATTTCATCAAACACCTTATATGCATCCCCCATTTGGCCACACTTGCAATACATATACACAAAGGAAGACCCGGCAACATTGTCCCCCGAAAGAAGCCCCAGTTTCAAGACCAACCCATGAAAGCTCTTCCCACAATCTAGCAACATAAGATCGGCGCAAGACCCAACAACCATGGGAAGAGTAAACTGGTTGGGGACAAAACCCGAGGCTCGCATTCGGAGAAACAAATAAAGGGCTTCCTGGAAATCGCCATTGGAGAAGTGGGCTTTGATTACGGAGTTCCAAAGAAAGGTATCCTTTGGATGAATCGAGTAGAATACTAGGGTCGAATTTGTGGGTCTGTTAAGAGAGGCGTAAAGAGAAATGAGTTTTGACGCAATGAAGATGTTGTTTGAATTTCCAGAAGTGATTATGAGAGCGTGGGATTTGAGGAGAGATTGGAGAGTGGAGGTTTTGGCGGAGAGGAAGAGAGAGAGTTGGTCGTTGAGATAGTTGGGAGATGTTGAGAGAGAAGTGAAAGGAAGAAAGGAGGGAAAGCGTTTGAATACTCGCGTGGATTTCAGAGCCAGCATGCTCACTGCCTCGCTGCTCCTGATTGCTTGGATCGTGTCGTTTTAAAGTTTTCTTAGAACATAAGAAAAGAAAAGGAGGAAATTACACTGGCACCTTTCTTTTTATTGGTTCGAAATTGGAGTCAGAGTTCTCTGAGTTTAAAATTTGAGTTTTATTACAGTAAAAAATTCTTAAAAATAATCACATTTAATTTTTTTATTACAGTAAAAAAATTTTACACAACATCACATCTCAACTCAAATTAACAAACCGAACGGGCCCATATTTTCTCACACAAAAATTTAAATATTTCACTTAAATTTATGAAAAGAACAACCTCATAATAACACGGTTGAATTTTTTTTTTTTTTTTTGCTAGAAATTAAGTATTCTAGTACCGTAACATTTTTTTTTTTGAATGTTTAAATTTTTTTTCCTAAACTATTTGAGGAGTTTTTATTTTTTACCCCGACATTTTTTTTGACATGATTTTTACTTTTTAAATTTCTTTTTTGCAAAATTACTTGAAGTGTTTTTATTTTTTTACCCAAAGAGTGTAAAAGATAAAATTAATATATATATATATATATATTTTTTAACAAATCTAAAGGATTCTTGTTGATACCCGTTTTGATACAAGGCTTTCCTAAGGTTCAAGCCCATCGTTTCATTTTTATGACGTGAATAGGCTTCGCTCCTTCACCCAAGCCACGTTTAGAGCACATTCATTTATCATGTTTTGGTGGGCCATTAGTGAATAAATTGACTTATTTACCCTTTCTTTGAAGTTAGCTTTTAATGGCACTTGAAGGGTTTAAATTAGAGTAACATTAGCGGCACCAACTCAAGTCTTAATTTTTATATGTCAACTGATGTGGTATATAATTATCATATTTTTATTTATAAATGGAATCTCTTATCATTAATTAACGTAGTAATATTTTAAACATTTACTAATGTAAAAATGACAACTCATATGTTACATTAGTTGGTAAACAAAAGTTAAAATTTGATTTGATTTCCTTAGCATTACTCTTAAAATTAGCTTAACAGGATAAATGGGTGGTCAAGAAAAAAACGTAAGAAACCTATCCGCTTACCTTGGGTAACCCAATACCTATACCCATGCACATACCCTACTCAAGCTTTTGATGACCCGACTAGCCCAAAGGACTAGTTCTAGCTTTTGGTGACCTTTCTCCCTAGAATTTTTCCCATGAAGATTTGTTCATGCCTGGAGGTTGATAGAATTCCCCTTCCTCAATCCGCTTTAGTCTTAGGAGAACTTCCTATTTTGTCTCTAGATTGAAAGTTGACCTTCCTTAAAAGGACAAATAGCACATCAGAATACATGTCGTTTTGACAACCTGGAGATAGTAAGTCGAATTTCTCTTGCTTGATCAAGCCTTCTTAAGGTCTTTCAAACATTGGGTAGACCAAACATGTCTGACCACAAGTAACCTTATAGGACACTTGAGGCTTACCATGCAAAGCTTCGAGAACTTGAAATGTAGAAAAGGAACGAAATGAGAAATTAGGACTCCGGAGCTCCAAACATGTCTGACCACAAGTAAGCTTCAAAACAAAGGAACTTTTTCACAGTAAATGAAACTCTCCTGTCTCAAGCAAAGTCATGACAACCATAATAATCAAAGACTTCTAACCTTATCCAACCAAAAATCTAAAATCTATAGCTCTGCATCCTTCAAAGTTATAACTTCTTTAATGAGTGTTTGTAAATTTTTTTTTTTTCAGTACCTTATAGGAAAAAATGGTATTTCAATGTACTAACGAAACAAAAAAAAAATGTTAGAATTGAGTCTATAAAAGATTGGACGCAAATTTTAAAATTCTGAGCTTTTCATAGAAATCACATTTTCATGATTTGACCGGAAGCTATAGAGGACTACAACTCATTCAAAAATTATTCAAACACTCATTTAACTTTCTCTATGTGCACATTTAGACCTCGTTTGTTTCGCGAGTTCAAATTATGTAAATTTAAAATATGTAAGTTTTTTGTTGTTCGAATTGGTGTTTGGTGGTATAAAGTCTAAACAGCAAATAAAGTTTGAACCAACATTTTATTATATTATTAGTACTATGACTTTTTACAAAATGTGAGTAAAAATAGTTGATAGCAACCTTTGAGTTAGATTTGTAAACAGTGTTTTGGATTAGAACTATAAAATCTTTAATTTTGGATTAAAATAAATCCAAAACTCAAAACCGCAATATGCAACCAAACATTGTTTCAGATTGCCTTTTAGGTTCAAACCCATGAAAACCCTCTAAATAAACGGATGTGTTCACATATATGGGGTAGAAATATGTTCAATACCATATTATAGCGTCAAATCATTCTTTGTGGACTTTGCTTTTAGGCTTATGGCTTTGTTCTTTTTCCTCAAAATCCTTCCGATGTGTTTGATTTGTGATTCCAATTCTCTCCTATTTCAAAAAAAGAAAAAAGAGAAAAAAAATACCCTGCTTTAGGAAAATAAAAATGGCAAGACTTTTAAAGTGAATATAAATGATTGTTTTGAAGGAAAAAAAAAAAAAAAAAAAAAAAAAAAAAAAAAAAAAACCCCCCTTTTTTTTTTTTTTTTTAAAAAAAAAAAAAAAAAAAAAAAAAAAAAAAAAAAAAAACACGCCCTTGTATTTTCTCTCTTTCCTCCTATATGAATGAAGAAACTTGTTACTTATTTGGTAAATAAGTTCGAAATGCGATGATTTGAGGTTTTTCTTTTTTTTTTTACTCGTCAACTCCGATGGTTTGAGCCTTTTTGGCTCATTAACTCCAATGGTTTGAACTAAAAAATTAAAATGGACCAGCATTTGCTTAAATATTTTTAAGACATTTCAAACCAATAATTTTGAATTAAAAGTTTAAAAAACGTATTTCCCTTTCATATCACATAAATTCCAACCAACTTGTATCAGATCAACGGGCCAAACAGATTATCGTTGGATTTAGTCATGTGACAGTGAAGTGTGAGATTGGAGCATCGTGAGATTCAATTAAGGTTCCGTTCATTTCACCGATTTAAGTTTATAATTCAAGTTTTACTACAACAAAAAGTTCTCAGAAACAGTCAAATCTAACTTTTTTGTTACAGTAAAAAAAGTCTCATATAAAGTCACATTTTAACTCGAATTAAAAATTTAAATCAGTAAACTAAACAAGACCTGAGTAAATACGTCATGTACTAATCTTTGTCAAATTTTATAAAAAAATAATATGGTAAATACTATGAATTATTATTATTGTTTGTGTTTATCAAACTCTAGCGTAAAATTTGAAAAAATGATATTTACCATTTTACACTCTGAGTTTTGACTTTATTTAAAAATTATACCTTTAGTTTTTAATCTCATTAAATGTATATCTCTAAATTAGATTTAATATACAAATTTATACTTTTTTACTATTAATCCTTGATTTTAACCTTAAAATACCTAAAATATCCTTAAATACAAAATGTTAAATGAAAAAAAAATTAAAATACATTTCCAACTTACAGTTTTGACCTCAAAACTATGCAAAGTACCATTGAAATGGATTTTTCTTGTGTTTTTTATTTTTATTTTTTGTAATATTCAAAAATTTTAGTTTTCTTTTTTCTCTTTTTTTTAAGGATAATTTAGTCTTTTTAAAGGTCAAAATGAATTGTTGACCAAGATAAGATATTGATTTGTATATTAAATTTAATTTAAAAGTATGTATTTGATGAGATTAAAAATTAAATATATATTTTTTAAATAAACTCAAAATACAGAAATAAAAATATAAATATCTCTTTGAAAAGTCCACAAATTTCCAAATTGAAAACACTAACTTTTTACCGCCAAATACCCACCCATCAGCGGCATTGAACGGCGAGCTTGCCATCACGAACTTTATCCTATGATTTTGCTCTCGTGCATGCATTGGCATTTCTTGCTGGCAATATATTAATGTTTAAAATTTATACGTAAAATTTGCAAAAATACGTTCAGTTGGGAAAGAGAAGGGCAGAATTAGAAAGCAAAGAAAGAAAAAAAAAAAGGTTAGAAACAACATGCTAGAATCCAAAATATTGCAATGCAAAAAAACTGATTCCAATTATTTTTTCAATTTATTTATATATTTTATTATTGATATTATAATTTTGCACTGAATGCAATTATGGTTGTCCTACATTTAAAGTCTTTTACTCTGCGAACGATGGATGCCGAGTGTTTGTGGTCCTTGACTGCTGCAACCGGTCCCAATGAGGACTCTTTTTCTCCGTGAAGAGTTCTGTTTCATCTGTTAAATTATTATTCTTGTGTGTTTTTTTTTAATCAATTATTTTTATGTTTCTTCATTAAAAATGAGAAAGTTTTTCTGACAGAACAAAAAAAAAAAAAAAAAGAACTGTCCGTGACTTCTTATATTTTTAGCAATCAAATTTGTATAAGATGATTATGAGGTATTAGAAAGGTCAGCATTAAGTATCATACAAAAGTCTTATCCCAAGTCCCAACTAATGCTACACTGAAATACGATGAACTTTACAAGGGGAATATATATATATAGGAATTGTCTCCGGTCACGCACTTAAAGAGTACCTGACCGGAATAACAGTTGTATAATTATGTATAAATTGTGTATATTTACATGTAAATTATATATATTTATATGTAAAGTTTGCATGTTAAGTTATAAAAAATGAAAATGTATATTAATCATCAAAATATGTATTTTTTTATAGTAATTAGTGAACACATAGTATGAAAATATGTATATTAGTTGATTTGTTGTATTTCATGTTAAATATACACGATTTTACACGTAAATATACACAATTTACACGTAAATATACACAATTTATGTATAATTATACAATTATCATTCTGATCAGATACTTTTTAAATGTCTCAGAGACCTTACCTATATATATAGACGATGAACTTATTTTAAAATAAAATAAGAGACTTTATGGATGTTAATTCATAAAGGCCCAAGGGACAAAAAGGACCTCGTCTACAGTCCACCTATTATCTGCCTAACATGACATT